TGTTTATATTTTTGAATACAGTAACATAATTGATTTTGATATTTTTGATTTAATTTGCTGAATGGGTGTGGATATATTATATTTGAATAAAATCTTAGAATGAAATGAATTATAATTAGGAAAATATGAATCTAAAATTAATTAATATAATTGTTTGTGTTTATATTTTGGGATAGGTTGTAATACATTTAAAAAAATAAAAATACATATTAATAACAAACAATATTGTCTAATTTACATTCAATCCAATAGGTGTGGTGTTAATATTGGGTTTAATATGATTTGAATCAAATCATTTATTGCAAATATGATACTATATTTCATCGAAATTCAATGTATATTTTGAAGTAACATCTTTTTAAAAACAATTCTAGTTTCAATTAAAAAACCCATTAAACAGATATTAGAGTTATTTATAGATTAATTATCTAAAAATGCAATTAACACAAAAATTCTGCATAAAGATCTAAATCTAAATATTCAAGTCTTCACTTGAATACCATAATTCAAATGTGAATCAATTGTATTGAATTGTATTGAATTGTATTGAATTGTATTGAATTGTATTGAACTGACTTTTTATAAATGAATACTAAATTGCTCTAAACTAAAAAATTGTCTAAAGACTTCCGGATAACGTATCATACGAAGAGGGAGCACTGGTAGAAGCGCTGGCAGTTGTGGTACACGCTTGCCGTCGAGTGAACGTACATGTGGGCCATCAGGTGCTGATCTGTGGTGCGGGACCAGTCGGAATCATGAGTTTGCCAATTTTTCAACTATTAAATTACTACAAGATTTGTCTTTATTTCTTGATTTTTAATTATTTTGTTGTCATTAATTAGGTTTTCTGTGCGCCAAAGCATTCGGTGCCACAAAAGTATTCCTCACAGACATCAATGAAAGTCGTCTAAAACTGGCGTCTGGTAAGTGTATGTGTTGTTGGCATTTGATTGGCTGAGAGTCGGATTGTCTTAATTTTGTAAATAATTTTTTGTATTACAAAATAAATAACTTTATGAATCCCCGAATCAAAGAGTTGGGCGCCGACGGAGTCTTCGTAATTGATACCAAAAACTTTAACGACAAAGAAATGGCGCAAAAAATCCGCAAAGAGCTGAGCGCCGACTGT